TCTTTCCCTGGAATGTTTTATTCCCTCTTCTTCTTGACAACATTTACAGTTGCAGAACAACCTCTATCATCTTCTCTTCTTTTAATATATTTTATTTTTATTTCTTTTATACATTCAATCACTATACATCATCTTCTAAAGTCATCTTTTGAAATTTTTTAAAAGGTTTCTCAAAGGAAAATAACATGGGCTTATTTTATATGTAGGTTTATGACTTTTTATTTTATTTAATTCCATGTCATCTTTCCTAGTTAGGCTCACAATGGCTTGAGTGATGTAGCAATAGTATTTTGGAGTAATTTATTTACTTTTATTTTAAATTTGCTATAAGATATGTGCACTCAACAGAATGAGACACTGAGAGAGAGAGAGAAAGTGAGAGAGCAAGCCACCAGGTCCAGGACTCAAATTGCATTTGGCCATGTGGGTATCCAGTGCCTTAATCACCATGCCACCTGCTGACCAATAATAGTAGATTTTGAACATTCTTACCAGAAGGAATAATCAGTATATGAAGAAATATGTATGTTAATTAACATAGTTTAATGATTGCACATTGTGTGCATGTATACATCATATCATCACATTGCATCACATAAATACATAGTAATTATTCATCTTTTAAAATGGAATTAAAAAATTAAAAAGAGAATTAAACATGAGAGGCAAAAGATAGCAATAAGAAAAACTAAATGTGAAATAATATGGAAATATGTATAAAAGTTTATTTGTTTGTACTACTAATGAGAGAAATTATTCTAAGTTAATGAAAATTTGGGAGAGGTGGGTATGTACACAATAGAATTGACTATTAGATTTGATAACATACAATCTATTAACTTTTCACATTCACCTACTATATATTTATGTGTAAAATAATTAAATGGCACTTTAAAAATTGTATTTATAAACATCAATGCATTATTTAAAAGAAAAAATTATTCACAAATTTATTCGACCTCACCAGTGAGAACACAGTTGTAAGTAAAAACTCTTTAATAGTCCCATTTTGACCTTTGAATAAATTTTTTATGCAAATTCCCAATGTGAAAGGAGTAAATGTAAAATGTAAGTCTTAAGAAATACTCTTGTATGGTATGAATTGCAAGCAATCCATTCATCTTGAGTTTTCAAAAAATACAAAATATACACAGATATACTCATTTCAAAAATGCCGTAAGAGGCCCCAGCGCAGCTGCGCGCCGGGAACGGCCTGGCCGGCGCCCCTCCACTCCGGAGTGCGCGCCACGCGGCCGGGGGGGCTCCCC